CTGGGGCTGCTCCAGGAGCTCGCTCGGCGCCCCTTTTGGCCCTCCCAGGCTGTCCTCTAGAGCTCTCTTGGGTGCCCGTGGGAGTCCCGGGCTGGGTCGTCGAAGGCCAGACTGTCAGGTTGGATTGGGCCCCAAGGGCCAAGCTGGCCCGGTCGAACTGGATGGCTTGGGTGATTCGCCAGACTGGATCCGCGCTGGCTCCCTCGCCAGATGGCCCCCGTTTGCCAGATTGGGCCTGCCAGATTGGCGCCAGATTGTTGGCTTCGACTACCCAGCCAGGAGGCCCCGGACCCCACGGATCTCCAGCGTCCGGAGGCCCCTGCAGGCACGGGAGAAGCAGACCACGCCCCAGAGCGTGCAGCCGTCCGGCCACGTCCACAGGCGAGGACCACCACGGCCACCACGACGAGATTGGGAGGCACTCGGAGCCGTCCGACGCGTCGCACGCCGATCTCGCACGACTCCGCGACCTCCCACCGAACCCGAAGCTGTCCCCCAGAAGGCTCAGCACCTCCACGCGCCAAGAGCGGCTCTTGCCTAGGGGACCTCTCCCTGGGTATCCTGGGGTCCGTGGGTGAGCGCAAGGTGTATCAACAACGACTGCGCAGTCGACCAGAACCTCAGCTCGCGCGTAGCGCGCACGTACTTCGTAGATATGAGATAGGCATACAAGGCATGCAGCGGCACAACCATTTGATTAATCGTTGAGAGGGCCTGAGACCGCCCCAAGACAGCCCTACACCCGTGCGGTTGGTTGCTTCGTGCTGTCTTGCCGCTCCCTCCTGTTCCTCCTCCCCGTATGCCCAGATTTAGCTAGCGAGACTTCCCGTTGGGCAGCCAGTGTGCACATGGAATCCTGAGGCCAAAGACGCCCCTCAAACTGGCCCGAGACAACCCACATGGGCCCCAAGACCGTCCCCGAGACGGCCCAAGAGGGCTTCAAGACCGCCCCCCCGCGCGGTTGGTTGCCTCGTGCTGCCATGCGGCTCCTTCCTTTTCTTCCTCCGTGCATGCCTGGTGAGGCGGCGTCCCGCCCAGCCACAGAGCCGCCGCTTCCGACCGCCAACGTGTCACGGGCAGGCAGCAGCTGCCGCGCAGAGATTTCCACGCTTTTCCGAGTGCACTGGTCTGCGTTCGCGAGAGGTCGACGCAGAGCAGACACGCACATGCCTTCCAGCTGCGATCAAAGATATGGGGCCCACTAATGGATCTTTTCGACTCGGGTTCGACTCAAGTTCGACTCAAGTTCGACTCAAGTTCGACTGAAGTTCGACTCAGGTTCGACTCAGGTCCGACTCAGGTTCGACTCAGGGTCGACCCACATCGACTGACGTTCGACGCAGCTTCGACGCACGAGTGGAGCGAGTGGCTCCAGGAAGGTCCCCAGAACGAGCATCTAATTGTCGTCGTCCTTCCCGGGGTACAGTCGGGGCGCTGAAGAAGGAGCTCTTTTCGTTGGGTAGGGGCTCCGTGTTCCTTAATGGTTTCACAGTTTGCAGGTTTTCGAAGGGAAATCGAACTTCAGCTTCTGGAGAGAGGGGGCCTTGTTCTTTATTTAGGGTCCTTAGGGCAGCGCCCCGACTGTATTGTGGCCCCGCGCGGCGTTATCCATGAGCCGATGCCCGTGCAGTCAGCTTCAAGACGTCTTGCGATGCTCCCAAGGCGGCCCAAGAAGCCTTGGATAGGGGTCGACGTCTCCCCTGTTGACATCGGCTTTGCGAGTGGGCGCCCCACGGAAACCTCTCTCCCCCGCTGGCCCTGGTGATCCGCAAAAGCTCTGAGGCACCCTTGTCGCCATGGGGTATATGCGAGAAACGGTTCCTGAGGTGTTTCGCCGTTGTTGGCTCCCCGTGGCCGTCCCACGGGCTCCAGCTGGGTAGTCGAAGCCAATCTGGCGCCAATCTGGCAGGCCCAATCTGGCAAACGGGGGCCATCTGGCGAGGGAGCCAGCGCGGATCCAGTCTGGCGAATCACCCAAGCCATCCAGTTCGACCGGGCCAGCTTGGCCCTTGGGGCCCAATCCAACCTGACAGTCTGGCCTTCGACGACCCAGCCCGGGACTCCCACGGGCACCCAAGAGAGCTCTAGAGGACAGCCTGGGAGGGCCAAAAGGGGCGCCGAGCGAGCTCCTGGAGCAGCCCCAGGGCCCCAACGATCCAACGCGACTTCAACACAACGCCGTCCTTGACGAGGAAGCGGTGTGTTAGGTTTGTGTTGATTTAGGGGCCTGCCTTCGACTACCCAGTCCAGGACTTCAGGAGGCGTCTCGGGAGGAGGATCTCGCCTTTGGGGGGAGGCCCCCCGGGGTCCGGGGCCCGTGTCCTTCGGGACGCGTTTCCTCCTCCTCCTCCTCCTCCTCCTCCTTCCCCGGTGCCAGTTCTGGACCGCCAGAGATCGACGAGGAACATCGAGGGTGCTATTCTAGAGAGTGTGTTTCGGAGGTCGTGCTTTTTTCCCAACCATCCTGTGGTGTTGGGCCCTCGTTTTGAAGAGACAGCGCCCCGCGTTCCTCCTTCCTCCTCCCTCCTCCCCTCCTCCTCCTCCTCCTCCTCCTCATCATCATTATCATCAGCAGCAGTATCATCATTATCGTTATCGTCGTCGTCATCATCATCATCATCGTCATCATCATCATCATCATCACCATCAGCATCAGCATCAGCATCATCAACATCATCACACGTTTCGTTGCCCCATAGGGAGCTCCGCCGAAGATCCCAGTGGCACAGTTCGCATCGGTCTCCGCCACTCATTTCGGCACACCACTCGCACGTTTCGTGGCCCCATAGGAGCTCCGCCGAAGGTCCCAGTGGCACAGTCCGCATGCGTCCCCGCCACTCATTTCGGCACACCCCTCACACGTTTCGTGGCCCCATAGGGGCTCCGCCGAAGGTCCCAATGGCACAGTCCGCATGCGTCCCCGCCATTCATTTCGGCACACCACTCGCACGTTTCGTGGCCTCATAAGAGCTCCGCCGAAGGTCCCAGTGGCACAGTTCGCATGCGTCCCCGCCATTCATTTCGGCACACTCCTCACACGTTTCGTGGCCCCATAGGGAGCTCCGCCGAAGGTCCCAGTGGCACAGTTCGCATGCGTCACCGCCATTCATTTCCGGCACACCCCTCACACGCTTCGTGGCCCCATAGGGGCTCCGCCGAAGGTCCCAGTGGCACAGTTCGCATGCGTCCCCGCCATTCATTTCGGCACACTCCTCACACGTTTCGTGGCCCCATAGGAGCTCCGCCGAAGGTACCAGTGGCACAGTTCGCATGCATCCCCGCCACTCATTTCGGCACACCCCTCACACGTTTTGTGGCCCCATAGGAGCTCCGCCGAAGGTCCCAGTGGCACAGTTCGCATGCGTCCCCGCCACTCATTTCGGCACACCCCTCACACGTTTCGTGGCCCCATAGGAGCTCCGCCGAAGGTCCCAGTGGCACAGTTCGCATGCGTCCCCGCCACTCATTTCGGCACACCACTCACACGCTTCGTCGCCCCATAGGGGCTCCGCCGAAGGTCCCAGTGGCACAGTTCGCATCGGTCCCCGCCACTAATTTCGGCAAAACCCTCACACGTTTCGTGGCCCCATAGGGGCTCCGCCGAAGGTCCCAGTGGCACAGTTCGCATGCGCCCCCGCCATTCATGCCAGCACACCCCTCGCACGTTTCGTGGCCCCATAGGAGCTCCGCCGAAGGTCCCAGTGGCACAGTTCGCATGCGTCCCCGCCATTCATTTCGGCACGCTCCTCACACGTTTCGTGGCCCCTAGGAGCTCCACCGAAGGTCCCCGTGGCGCAGTCCGCATGCGTCTCCCTCACCCAGTACAGCGTTTCGTGGCCCCATATGGAGCCCCACTGAACGTCCCCGTGGCGCAGTCCGCATTGTGTTGTTCATTTTAGCTGTCCAGAGCGTTCCGGAACGATCTCAGAGCGCTCCGTAACGATATGATAAGGCCGCGGCGCCCGAGACGTCTCCTCCAGCGCTGCCGGATCTCAGAGATTCTCGATCCAGTTTACCCTCACCCGGTTTTGGGCCTCGCCCTGGCCTCGTCTTGCGCTGCCGCCGCGAGTTCAGCAGTGCTCTCTTTTTACCCTGCGTGTCTGGTGTATTTTCAGGAGCGAGAGACGGACGCACACGTACATGATTCCGCGCTGATTTCGAGAGCACGCGTTGCTCGGCAGCGAGCGAGGGGGGGAAGTGAGAAGGAGAAGGCCTTCGCAGAAGGCGGCGGGACTTCTCAGAAGCCCTCGCGCCTTCAGAAGTTTTTTTTCGGGGAAGGCTTAGGATACTTCTCAGAAGTCCGGGGGACTTCCGAGACTTCTGAGAAGGCACGCCCCTTCTCACTTCCCCCCGTGGCTCGCCGCCTAGTTGCGCGAATGTTCGTATCACGCGGCCGGTCTCGCGGATCGAGGGGCGGCGTGCTCATGTACAGAGTCTGTCGCGCACGTCTTTATTGTGGGTTCCCTATGCGTGTTGGCCCGCTCGGCGCGTGTCCCGAGATGTGTCTCCCGCGCCCGGCCCGGGCGCCCGCGGGCCTCCCGGCTCTTCGGGTCGGGCGAAAGGGGGGGATTGGGAAAGGGGGGGTTATGAAATTTGCTGCATGCAGCTGATTTCGGCCCCGCCGAGGGGCCCATTCCTCGATACATGGGCGCCTCCCGACGCCGGGAGGCGCCGGGAAAATCAGCTACGTGAGCTGATTCTCAAACCCCCCCTTTGCTATCCCCCCCTTTCGCCCGACCCGAGCTCTCTTGCCTGGAGTCGGCGCGAACGAAAGGGGTACGGAAAGAATGGGCACGATGCCCAACAGCAGTTCCTGTTCATCTTGAGCAGGACTCGCTGTCGGTGTCGCCGCGGCCTGTGGCACATCTGAGGCGGAAGGCCGCCTGCCCCCAGCAGCAGCGGCCGCTGTTGGTTTGGGGCAGCATTTGTTGTTGGGCATCGTACCCATTTTTTCCGCACCCATTTCGGGCGTCCAAATGGAGCGCGGCCGGCCGCGGCAGGACCCGCTGACCAAGTCCGTGCTCAATGGGCGGCAGCTGGCCCTGAAGGCCTCCCCCCACGCAGACGGGGGGCCTCCAGGGAGACACAGGCACGTAGCACCTGGACGGCCCTCGTCCTCCCCCTCCCCCTCCCCCTCCCCCTCCTCCTCCTCCTCCTCCGCCTCCTCCTCCTCCTCCTCCTTCTTCCTCCTCCTCCTCCTCCTCCTCCTCCTCCTCCTCCTCCTCCTCCTCCTCCTCCTCCTCCTCCTCCCCCTTCCTCCTCCACCTCCTTTCCTCCTCCTTCCTCCTCCTTCTCCTCTCCTCCTCCTCCCCCCCCCTCCTCCTCCTTCTTCCTCCTCCTCCTCCTCCTCCTCCTCCTCCTCCTCCTCCTCCTCCTCCTCCCCCTCCTTCTCTCCTCCGCCTCCTCCTCCTTCTCCTTCTCCTCCTCCTCCTCCTCACCTTCCTCCTCCACCTCCCTTTCCTCCTCCTCCCTCCTCCTCCTCCTCCTCCTCTCCTTCTCCTCCCCCTCCTCCTCCTCCTCCTCCTCCTCCTCCTCCTCCTCCTCCTCCTCCTCCTCCTCCTCCTCCTCCTTCCCCCTCCTCCTCCTCCGCCTCCTCCTTCTCCTCCTCCTCCCGCTCCTCCTCCACCTCCTCCTCCTCCTCCTCCTCCTGCTCCTCCTCCTTCTCCTCCTCCTCCTCCTCCTCGGGTCGCCTACGGCCCCGGGGGAAACCGTGCAGTAGCATCCCGCCATTGCTCTGAGCCTCCTAGGAGGGGTCGGGGTAGACGGGGTCGGAGCGTCGCGCCGCATCTCTGATGCATCGGCGATGCGGCTCGATGTGGAGCCCGATATTCCCCACGCCGCCGTCGCCGATGCATCGCCGGCTTCGCCGGTGCATCGACGATGCAGCGCGATCTTCCAGCCCCATCTATTCGGACCCCATCTAGGAGGCCTCTCATTGCGGATGAGAGTGAGGGGGCGGGCGAGGGGTGGGTCGCAGGTGGGTCGTGGGGTGGGTCATGGGGGGGGGGGTCGCGGGGGGTCGCGGGCGAGGACGACGACAGCAACAACAACGCAACGACAACAACAACAACAACAATTACTAGCACGTGGGGACACTCCGTTCTCACCAGTGCCAGGGTTTTCATAGGAGGCGGGCAATACCCCCACTTTGTGGGGGGGCCGGTTCAAGCTCTACCAAATTTCCAAACGACTCTTCGCCACCACCCACACCCAGCTTCCCGCCCTATGACGTTCGGACACTTCACTTCGTGGCATGCGGACGACCGTGGCTACTATTCAGGGCCCCGCGGCCGACGACGACGGCGTGCGCGCGCGAAGAAAAAACGAATGTGTCCCGCATGGTATTATTTGACAGGGATGATGGCCCTGGCAGGTGCGCAACCGTTGTTGCAGAAGTTCGAAAAAGTTGCTCGCAAAAGCCCGTTTGACAGAAATGTTTAAAAAGTGTTGGGTTTCCTACGAATCCGCAAGAGCGCGCGGGATGAAATTTTGACATTTTTTGTTGAAAAACCATTGGTTTTTTGATGTTTTTATGTTAAAATCGCTACGAACACTAAGGTTTTGGAAGGATTTCGTCTTGCGCGCGCGAATGTCCACTTTACCTTATTTTTTGCAAGGGATTCTTGAAGTTTGGTTATGTTAGAACAAGAAATGTCCACTTTAGCTTATTTTTTGCAAGGGAAAGCGGGGGACAACAAAACAACCGGATCTGGTACACATCGTTTTGCCTGAGACTTCCTCACGAAAATGATGAAAATGTGGCTGCGGCCTAGGCGCGGCGGGGGGGCGCGCACCAGGGGGCCCAACAATAATTATTCTTTAGAATAATAATGTTCAACAACAACAATTACTAGCACGTGGGGACACTCCGTTCTCACCAGTGCCAGGGTTTTCATAGGAGGCGGGCAATACCCCCACTTTGTGGGGGGGCCGGTTCAAGCTCTACCAAATTTCCAAACGACTCTTCGCCACCACCCACACCCAGCTTCCCGCCCTATGACGTTCGGACACTTCACTTCGTGGCATGCGGACGACCGTGGCTACTATTCAGGGCCCCGCGGCCGACGACGACGGCGTGCGCGCGCGAAGAAAAAACGAATGTGTCCCGCATGGTATTATTTGACAGGGATAATGGCCCTGGCAGGTGCGCAACCGTTGTTGCAGAAGTTCGAAAAAGTTGCTCGCAAAAGCCCGTTTGACAGAAATGATTAAAAAGTGTTGGGTTTCCTACGAATCCGCAAGAGCGCGCGGGATGAAATTTTGACATTTTTTGAAAAACCATTGGTTTTTTTGATGTTTTTATGTTAAAATCGCTACGAACACTAAGGTTTTGGAAGGATTTCGTCTTGCGCGCGCGAATGTCCACTTTACCTTATTTTTTGCAAGGGATTCTTGAAGTTTGGTTATATTGGAACAAGAAATGTCCGCTTTGCCTTTTTTTTTGCAAGGGAAAACCGATCGTAACAACACAACCGGATCTGGTACACATCGTTTTGCCTGAGACTTCCTCACGAAAATTATGAAAATGAGGCTGCGGCCTAGGCGCGGCGAGGGGGCCGCGCACCAGGGGTCCCAACAATAATTATTCTTTAGAATAAATAATGTTCAACAACAACAACAACAACAACAATCCTGGCCACGAAATCCCACTTCAGCCACGCACACAGGGACAATGAATGACCGTTCGCCCCCCCACTCTAAAATAGAGACATTCCAGGATTCCTCAGTAGGCCGCAGGTCAATGTTTGGGTGTACCGGCCTATCCTATTTCGTTGGCCTATCCCCGTTGTTAAACGTTCTTGTCCGTCTTCCTCCCTACTCCTTCGTCCTCGTGCCTCCGCAACTGCACCGTCAATTTGTTTTTTGTTGTCAGACTTCTCCATGACATGAGCTTGCCTATTGCAGGTCGGCTTGTGCGATATTCCAGTTTGCCCAGCGACCTTTTGATTCGCGGTGTGGTTGTGTTACTTGTGGTGTTCTGCGTGGAAACAAAATCCAGAGTTCCCAATATTCATCATATTGTCTGGATTTTTGGTTTTCTTCCCATTTCGTTTATTTTCCAACACTATGTTACTGGACATCGTATCTGTTCACACACATATATATATACGTATCTGTGTATTCATATTCATATATATGTATATATATGATTGTGTGTCTGTGTCTATCTTTTCCTCCTGAACGAAGTGGAGGGGCTCGTAGCTGCCACGAAGGCCAAGATCGGGTCGGCCGGGGGGGATGCCATTGGCGTCGGCAGAAAAGCAGGGCGGCAAATGTTTGATGATTTTCGGCTCCTGGTAGGAGGAGGAAGAGGAGGAGAAGGAGGAGGACGAGGAGGAGGAGGAGGAGGAGGAGGAGAAGGAGGAGGAGGAGGAGGAGGAGGAGGAGGAGGAGGACGAGGAGGAGGAGGAGGAGGAGGAGAAGGAGGAGGAGGAGGAGAGGAGGAGGAGGAGGAGGATTGGAAGCGCAGGAGGAGGAGGAGGAGGAGGAGGAGGAGGAGGAGGAGGAGGAGAGGAGAGGAGGAGGAGGAGGAGGAGGAGGGCCCTGTTTTCGTCGGTCTTCCTGCCTCGGGACGCTCTCCAGCCGCCGCGCCCTCGCCAAGAGCTTTCCGGGGGCATCTGGATCGTCCCCGAGTTCGGACGAGAAGCCAGACGGCAAGGGATACGCTGGGTTTCTCAATAAGCGTGGGGGGGGCACCCCCCCCGACAAGGGTCAACCTCGCCTCGTCGTCGCGCCGCGACGGGGGTCCGGAGCGCCTGCGGCGCGCGGTGGCTGCCCGCGACGGAGGTCGATGTGGGGTTGTCGGCGGGGGTGACGCCCCCCCGAGGCTGATTCAGAAACTCTGAGTAGGGAAAGGGGGCCCCGAACGCTGCTGCATTCAGTTGGCCGCTGGGCGCCTTCCTCGATACATTGGCGCTCCTGGGCCGGGTACGCGCCGGGACAAAAAACAGCTACGTTGGCTGATTCGCTCACCCTTCTTTTCTACCCCCGCTTTCGTCGGACCTGGTACAAGTCTCCCAAATGGGGTCCGAGCGGTCGGAGGATCGCGCCACATCGCTGATGCATCGGCGATGCGGCTCGATGTGGGGCCTACTTCCCTCCACGCCGACGTCGGCGATGCATTGGTGATGCATCGGAGATGCGGCACGATCCTCTGATCCCATCTACTCGGACCCCATTTGGGAGGCCTCCAGTTGTGCCTCCTCGTTCTTCGTGCTTTTTGTGCCCCCGTGGGGCCTTGGGCCTCTTGGCGGACGTTATCGGCGGTGTTTTGGCGATTTCGTGGTCCGTTATCGTTTCGACTTCGATGTTGCAGCAAAGACATACTACTGTTTCAGTCGATCCCTGTTCTGGCCATCCTGTGACTGTAGGGAGTGCGGGAGGGTGTTGGTGAGCCTGTGGCGCCGAGCGGTGATCCCCGCTCCCGCGTCGCCGCAGCAACTCTTCTTGCGGGCGGCTGGTTCTACATTCGGGGCGCTGAACAAGGAACCCTTTTCGTTGGGGAGGGGCTCGGTGTTCCTTGATTGTTTCACGGCTTGCCTTAGGTGTTCCTTAGGTTTTCGATCGGAAATCGAAGTTTAACTTGTGGAAAATAGGGGCCTCGTTCCTTATTTAGGGCTCCTTATGTCAACGCCCCGACTGTATGTGCGAATGGGGGGTGGACGGTTCTTCCAGTGATGAGGCTGTACAGCATTATGCAGCGAAACCCCCGCAGCCACAACACTTTGACTCCTCCGCGTCTGCCCCCCCCGTCCCCCGTGGGTCCCGTGGTGGTTGGTGCGCGGGCACCCCAACGAATGGAGGCGCTCGCCGCGGTTGTGGAGCGCAGAGTACTTCGCCAGGGTAGAACTCAGACGAGTGGACGAGGAGAGAGAAGGAGAGATAAGGAGGAGAGAGAGAGAGATAAATAACGAGAGAGAGAGAGAGAGCGACAGAGGCGGATACATCATGATATATATATATATATATATATATATATATACACATGTAAATATAATTAGAGAGGGGAAGAGAGAGAGGTATACATGTGTATCTATATATACATAGA